TTTTCCTGTCTGTGTCTTTTAATTGGGGCATTTAGCCCATTTACATTTAAGGTTAATATTGTTATGTGTGAATTTGGTCCTGTCATTATGATGCTAGCTGGTTATTTTCCATATTAGTTGATGCAGTGTCTTCATAGTATCATCAGTCTTTATATTTTGGTGTGTTTTTGCAGTGGCTGGTACTGGGTTTTCCTTTTCATATGTAGTGCTTCCTTGAGCTCTTGTAAGGCAGGCCTGGTGGTGACAGAATCTCTCAGTATCTGCTTGTCTGTAAAGGATTTTATTTCTCCTTCACTTATGAAGCTTTGTTTGGCTGGATGTAAAATTCTGGGTTGAAAATTCTGTTGTTTTTTTTTTTTTTTTTAAATGTTGAGTATGGCCCCCACTCTTTTTCTGGCTTGTAGGGTTTCTGCAGAGATGTCTGCTGTTAGTCTGATGGGCTTCCCTTTGTGGGTAACCCAACTGTTCTCTCTGGCTACCCTTAGCATTTTTTTCTTCATTTCAATCTTGGTGAATCTGATGATTATGTGTCCTGGGGTTGCTCTTCTCGAGGAGTATCTTTGTTGTGTTCTCTGTATTTTCTAAATTTGAATGTCGCCCTGTCTTTCTAGGTTGGGGAAGTTCTCCTGGATAATATCCAGAAATGTGTTTTCCAACTCGGTTCCATTCTCCCTGTCACTTTCAGGTATACCAATCAAATGTAGGTTTGGTCTTTTCACATAGTCCATATTTCTTGGAGGCTTTGTTTGTTCTTTTTCATTCTTTTTTCTCTAATCTTGTCTTCACACTTTATTTCATTAAGTTGCTCTTCAGTCTTTGATATCCTTTCTTTCACTTGATCGATTTGGGTCTTAAGACTTGTATATGTTTCACGAAGTTCTCATCAGCCAGTCACCATCATTTAGATTTTCAAGGCCTTTATTTACTTAAATGTCGTGACCAAGTGCAAAAGGAAGTGGCTGCAAAAACTAGGAAACCGTTTTTGAAACTCAGGGAGGAGCTCTGGGTTGATATTGACACCAAAGAATGTGCAGGAGGTGGTGTGACAGCCCCACACGCTCCTAATCTCTGTCTAGCTGGAAGCCTAGGATGGGAGGGCAGGTGCACTGAGCTGCTGTCTGGAGCGCGTGTTTCCTCCAGAACTGTTTGCAGCCTCCAGGAAGCACCCTGCACGCTTGTGCTTTAGTGTCCCCCTGTACCTACTTGGCCACGTACTGCTTTCCTCATCTGCTATGCAGGGATAACACATCTCTCAGACCTATTAGGAAAATGTTAAGTGCCATCACATGTCATGTGCCTGACACAGGGTCTTACCTGTTTCATGAGGTTTCTGTCAGCCTGCAGCCCTGGAAGAAAAGCCTGTCTTCAAATCCACTGTTCCCAGGTATCCATCCAACAAAAGCAATGCAGGACGTCATAGTAATGCTGGCCGCGTGCGAGTGTGTAATGGGGTCCCCAGGACCTCTGAGTCCACACAATTCTCCTCCGGATTCTTGTCCAAGGGAAGCACACTGCAGCAGGGATTGAGGAGGGTGTCCAGAGCCCTGGGTGCTTGCACGGTGCTCCTGTTCTTTGAGTAGGTAATTGGGCATGTTGGCATGCCTGAAGCGATGATTAGTCCCACTCAAAATGCATCAGTGTCATCTGTCATAAGCTAGGCATAATTCCAGGGCACAGAATGTGGCCCTCTGCTGTCTTGGAGGACACGGTCAGCTAGGAGTAGAGAGACACAGACCCAGGAACCAACACAAGGCAGAGCAAGGTCCATGTTCTGATAGGGGCCCATGTGCTGTGGGAACGGGGAAGAAGAGCACAGGGTCTGGTGAGACTGGGGAGGCTCACACCCTGAGAACACATACAAGACGGCAGGAGTTCAGGTCCTGATGGGAGCCCAGGCGCTGTGGGGGCACAGAGGAAGGTGTGCTTCAAATGGGAGGGGAATTAAGGACCAGTAATTCTTTTGTAGATGGAAAGCCTTCTTTTGGACTTGGTGTAACATTTTGATGCCTTAGAGAAGCATTCCAGGGCGGCGAGTCATGCGAGCCTAGGGATGGAGTTTAGAGCATGTGGGACATGCTCCGGGGTGAGTAGTGTCCGAGCTGGAGCAGGACCTGGGGCAGGTGGATGCTGGGACATAAGAACTTGGGTTTTAAGGAGAAAGGGTTTGGATCTGCTGGCTCAAAGGGTTCAGGCCAAGCTGAGGAAATAAGTGTGGCAGCACCCAACTTTTCCTTATGTAGCTTTGTATTTATTTGCTTGTTCCTTCAGCAAACATTTGTTCATTACTATGTGACAAGCACTAACCTGAGTGCTGAGGAAAGAAAGATGAGCAAGACAGGGCTTCCTTCCTCAGGAAAATCACAGTCCGGTGGAGGAGATAAGTAACATGCACCGTGATGCAGATAGCAGCTTGCCGCCTGCTCCGAGAGCGGTTATGCAGGTGATTGGTAGTGCTTGGTGGTAGAGGGTGTAAGAGATGCTTTAAAAAATGTGCCTTTTGAGCTGAGTTTGAAGGATAAATGGAGTAGGAGCTTTCCAGGGACTGCTGACAACAGGACAAAGCCCAGAAGTGTCACTGAGAGGAGCACACTGGGGACACAGTGACATCTGGTGTGAGTGGATCCTCGGTGGGAAGGGGAGCTAGGGAGAAAAGACTGGAGAGAAGGGATGGAATAAAGCCGGGAGCTCGGGCTTTATCCTAAAGGCTCTGTGACAGCGGCGACGATGTTTAAGCTGGGAGGTTAGGAAGTAAATGGCAGGATAAAGAGGCCTGGAGAGGCCCTGGGAAGATGAGAGGGAGACTTGTTATGAGACCTTTTGTGATCCAGTAGAAGGATCAGGAGGAAATGGGTAGGGCGGGCTCATTAGGGCTGACTGGTGAGTGAGTGAGAAGTCATGTGTGGGTAACTCCCAGGTTTCGGGATTGAGAGACTGGTGCCATTCCCAAGACAAGAGAGTCAGGAGAAATAGATTTGGATGATGGGTTTATTCTGAATATGCGTGAGATTACCACAGGACGCGTGAGGTGCTTTCCCCCATTCCATCCCTACCTTGACATCCTTCCGAAGCTCCTGATCCCTTCAGTGCTGGCCTGGCTTCTCCACTGTCATCTCTCAGCCTGAGCCGCTTGCAGCCCCTTGAACTGCCAGGCTGTGGTCTGCATCTTGCTGCTTCCAAGTGGAGCAGCTTTTCCCTTCTCTCATCTTTAGTCTGGCCAGCTGCTGCTGATCCTTCCAGGCTCACTGAGATGGAAGGCTTTGCGGAAGGCTTTTCCTTTTCAACCACTACCAGGGAGGGCTCATCCACATCGGTCTGCAGCCATGTGTTCATCCTGCCTGATTGTGGTGGTGTGCGTGCAAGACACCTCCACTGCTGTGACACCCACCCTGTAGGGCAGATGGCATCTGTGTCCACTGTGCCTGGCCCAGATGGAAAGTGGGGCAGGAGGAAACATCACAGGAGCAAATCCAGGTAGGACATCCACCAGAGAGCTGGAAACTCCAAAAGACCAAAGACAAGGCACCAAAGACAAATGTGAACACAAGGACCCCGCGTCTTCCTCCACTCTCCTGTCTGCTGGTGAACAGCATGCTCTAGTGTTCAGTTATGCAGGCCCACGCTGTTGGCTTGGTCTTGTGTGTGGAGAGGAGTAGAAAGGGAGAAGGAATGCAGAGGCCCAGGAGGAAGGCTGTGAAGCTCAGTGGCCCATGATGGCCGAGGAGGTAGCCTGGCCTGCATACCTGCTTCCCTTCATTTTTTTAAGCTTCTGAGCCAGCGGAGGCCACATCCCCCAAGGATTAGCTCCCCATGGACTGAGAGCACACAGTTGAGGCAGTTCCATAAATTGGCCTCAGGGGGCTGTGACCCACAGAAACAGTGCAAATGTGCATGTGAGACATGCCTCATTCTGGGGAGACACCCCGAGAGCTTTCGCTCAGTTTCTTAAAGATGCCTGTGGCCTTCAAGAGGCTGAGAACCAGTGCTATAAGGATCCAGTCTTACTTTTTTCCACACATGAAATCCTAGGAGGAATCATAAGATAAAAGATAAGGAAGAAGACCTAGATCCGTCCTTGCTCAGAACTACATCCTCCAGTTTCCCAGAGCGCCCGCACAGAACGTAGAACCCAGTTTCAAAACCACTCTCGTAAAGCCAAAGGCTGTAGAGCTGCAGAGCCAGGCGGACCCTTGGAAATCAGTGTGACCTGGTTCGTGTCTGGGGCCATCAAGGAGGCACACAGAACTATCAGTGGCAGCACTGGAACCCAACACAGCTCCCTCCTCACTCACTGAGCCGCTCTTTTTACTGCTTGCTGTAGCTCCCAAAGCCTACATTTTAATTTAAAACTTTTTTCTTTTTTTCTGAGGTAGTGTCTGGCTCTGTCACCCAAGCTGGAGTGCAATAGCATGATCTCAGCTCACTGCACCCTTGACCTCCTGGGCTCAAGCCATCCTTCCACCTCAGCCTCCCAAGAAACTGAGACTACAGGTGCACGCCACCATGCCCAGCTAATTTCTGTATTTTTGTGTATGTGTGTGTGTGTGTGTGTGTGTGCATATCTGGGCATTCAGATATGCACATTCTGTGATACAGCAGGGAACCAGTAGTCGGTGTACCTGGTTTGCTGCTATCTGTTTTGTGGGGGTAAAACTGATCACCCTGCTAATCACAGCCATGGGGGGTGAGAGAAATAAGGTCTTGCCTTGATTGAATTAGACTCTAGATATACTAGAGTCTGATTTCTAAACAACCTGCAAAGTGAGCTTTTAATCACCATTTTGCAGATGGAGAAACTGGCATTCAGAAAAGGAAAATGCCTTGCCTAAGGCCACAATGTAGTGAAGCCCCAAACTAGACAAACCTCAGGCCTGCCCAATTCCTCGTCCTGTGTTTTCTCCACATCATCTCACTACCTGGGGCTGTGAACTTGCCTGCTTGCCTCCCTGGGGCAGTCCTGACCTCCTCTCATCCCTGCCCCTTCCCATCTTTCTCTCTCTTAGGAGTGTCAGCTTCTCCCAGGGCTCTGGGGCCTCATTCCTCATGAGAAGACACACAGCCTTGCAAAATCTTGCACAGCTTAGTGGATACAGTGTCGATGGGGTCAGCGGTCACATCCATGGCTTCCATAGCCTTTCCAAGCTGAGCCAGCACAATACAGAATTCAGAGGCAGCCCCTGCAGAGCTCCCTGGAGCCTGGCTTCCCATGACCACACCAGAGGCAGCCTCACAGGATCTGAGGCAGATAATGTAGGTGTGTACCCCTTCAAGGCACCCAGCAGCACCCCGTGCCAAGAGTTTGGGGGCCACCTGGTGAACAACAGTGGTGTTCCGGGCACCCCACTCTTAGTGTATCAGATCCCTAGGACAGTCATGTTAGACAAGAACCTCTGTGCCACAGCGGTGGCCACTCCTGGGCCCATAGTCTCCCTTCCCCTGCCCAAGGCAAGTTTGGCAGAAGCATGTCAGTGGGGCAGCCCTCAGCAGAGACCTTCAGTCAGTGAAAGTAGCAGATGGTCCGTTGCTGCTGCCATCCCCAGGTGGAATACCCTCTCTGCAATGGACAACAGCCGATGTCAGCAAGGTCAGTATGAGCCCTCACTGAGTCAGAGGGTGAGGGAGGTGGAACGGGGGTCTCCCATGGCCACGGGAAACTTGGGAGCCACCTGGGTTGCTGATACTCATGGGTTGCTTGACCACTGGGTCTCCCAGCACTGGAGGCTGTTAGTAGACACCCACAGCGGCAAGACTGTGCAGACTCTGCCTCCACTAAGGGAGACAGAACATTCGTAGTTAACCACAGTACAGCACATTTTGAATTTGGTCATCATAGTGTATGCATGTATAAATCAAAGTAAAGACTTAAAATAGAAATTTAGGAGATCAGTCCAAACCAGAGCCAAACCAGTGTGGACTAAGAGACTGTTAAAATGAGATCTTCGAAATATTTTCCAACCTATACTTGGATCTCTTTATTTGAAGTCTAAACTTGTATTTCAGATATCTAGATTCTTTTGTCATTTGTTTTCTGCTGAGAGTATTTTATATCTGCATATAACCTCTCCTCAATGAAAAAAAATGGATCAATATTAACTCCTTTCCTTTTGCTTCCATTTTTATACCTTGCAAAACGTGTTTATTCTTCCTGTTAAGCTATGAGAAGGTTTGATGGGGCAAAGCCTTGTTTTCTCCATTTTATATGAGGCCCATAGTGCGTAGGCTCATTCAGGGTTGAAAGTCATAAGTGGCAAAGATGAGCCTCACCCTGAGGTCCTGGATCCTGGATTAGAACTCTGCAGTCTTTTCAGTGTTTGCGCAATTTGAGGAAGGCCCTTATGCTGTGAAACTGAGACGATAGAGACGTAGATAAAACAGGTTTCAGGCCGGGCGCGGGGGCTCACGCCTGTAATCCCAGCACTGTGGGAGGCCGAGGCGGGCGGATCACGAAGTCAAGAGATCGAGACCATCCTGGTCAACACGGCGAAACCCCGTCTCTACTAAAAATACAAAAAATTAGCTAGGCATGGTGGCGCGTGCCTGTAATCCCCGCTACTCAGGAGGCTGAGGCAGGAGAATTGCCTGAACCCAGGAGGCGGAGGTTTCGGTGAGCCGAGATCGTGCCATGGCACTCCAGCCTGGGTAACAAGAGCTAAACTCCGTCCCCCCCAAAAAAAAACAAAAAACCAGGTTTCTGTCTGGAGCTCACATCTATGTATAAAATAAAATAAAACCGACATGCAGAAGTCAGTACAAGAACTCTTTACTATTCCTGGAGGTGGCAGGTGGGTGAAAGGGATGGGTGGTGGTGCTGTAGAAGTTGAAGGAGACGCGTGCCCTGATGGCAGATGCCCAGGAGGGATACTCTGTGGTAACACTGGAGCTGGACCTGGAAGCCCAGGAGGAGTTGTGTTAGGGAGCAGGGATGTGTTAGGGGTAACGCCTTGTCATTTGGGGTTGAGAGTCCTGTCTTCTGGAGCATCAGTGAGACCCTGAGTAGCACTGGGGAGGGTGTGGGAGGCGTCAGCACATGGATCAGCGGTGATACGTTAGATTTCCTTCCTCAGTTGTAGCTTCCTTCCACGAGGACCCCCAGTGTGGTGGAGGGAGTGCAGGCCCGCCTGTCGAGTCCATGCATGAGGGAGTCAGTTCTTTCCTGGTGAGTATGGTTTAACCAGGGGTCCCCAGGCTGACTCAGGGAGGTAAAGGTCACACTCCATGAACTAAAAGCACAAAGAGTGACAGCATCTTCCTCCTAGGAACCTGCGTAAGTTCCTGCCTCAGTTCAGAACCCTAGGTTCAGTTCTTGGATAAGTGAGATGCAGGTATCCTGGTCTGGAAGAAAGTGAGTACTTAAGTAGACAGTATCACAAGGCTTACCAGCCCTGTGGGTAGCAGAGGGTGCAGAATGCTGGGGTTCTGAGGAGGTGCTGTAACCCGTGAGGTCCCCTGGAGCAGGGGTGCTTCCGTGTGAGCCTCAAGGCAAGGGCAGTACTCAGTCAGGTGAGGGGGTGGGATTCCAGGCTGCCATCTGGAAGAGGTGACCACAGTTCTCCAAGGTGTCAGACAAGCAACAAGGACTGGCTTCAGGCCCCTTCTAAAGATGGTGGGAATTAGGTAACCAAGGGAGAGGACAGATGGGGCAGAAGCTAGAGGAAGGCTCTCCCTAGGTCTGCTGCATTGCACAGCTCTGTGGCAGCTCTGCCTACAGCTTGGTGGTCACCTAGGAGCCTGAACGAGCCCCAGGCTCCCTGATACCTTGTCTGCTAATCACAGCCATTGGAAGAGAGGAATCTCCTTGTCTGGGGAAGTGCACCTCACCCTACACCTCACCATGCAGGGCCAAGACATCTGATATGATCCTTGCCTTGATCAGGGCCCGAGATGCCGACCTGCCAGTGCTGTGTCAGGGCTGCAGGTGGATGGTGCACGGCCCGCACGGCCTTCTGCCTGGGCCCAGCATCCGGAAACCTGGGTGGACCCAACCACTAAAGATGCTTGATTCTCTAGATTTGTCACGAATTGTAGTTGGATGCTACAGGTCCGGAGGGCTAAAAGGGCCCACACATCTCATTTCTTCTTGCCTCTACTCCGATTTTGTAGTCTTTCCAAGGTCGCTCTGATAGCTCCAAAGTGTAGTTAACATTCTCACAACAGAGGCAGAGGACGTAGTCACCCTGATGGTTTCCAGTTCTACACCACGCCCATGTGGCTTCAGCCAGTGGCCAGAGATAGGAACACAGAGTCAGCTCTCCCAGCTGGCAGACTGGGCTCGCCACTCTCTTGTTGCTCCCTTTAAATGGACCATCCAGGCATTTACTCCAACCTTAATTGAGTGACCCACACCCCATTCCCCAAGATACCCTGCTCATTGCCCCACTCTCTTCTCTCTCTTTGCCTGCGCTCCCTGACCTCCCAGGACCTGTGAAGAACTGAAACCTCTTCCACTTTTGCATGTGACTGTGTCATGGAACCTGCTTTAAAATCTGACCCCCGAGGCTGCCCAGAGGGGCCCCATGCACGGGGTTCCTGGCTGGAGCACTTCTCTCTGGGCCACTTCTGTCTGAGCACTTCTGTCTGGGCCATTGGTGGCTGCTGAAGACAATAGTCCCCAGCCAAGGTGATCAAGGCTTTGATTCAAAATACCCAGTCATGACTTTTTTTTTTTTGGCTTTGTCTAGAAATTCTCACTCTTCTGTTGTTCTTGATGGTGATAGCCATTTCTTTAGCTCTCCCTCCCCAGCCAGGGAAAACACTTGTGGGCCTGTCGCACAACATTGCTTCTGGGGACAGCTGTGTGCCCGTGAGCCCAGGCTCCCCGGACCTGCAGGCTGTGGAGCGAGCAGGCGATGATTCCCAGAGCACCTGCATCCCCGTGGGCCCAAGACCCGTTTGCTTTGACCTGCGCGGCTCCCCACTCACAGAGCTTTCTGTGCACCGAGACCCCAGCCAGGGACATGAGGTCCAGCCGCCCCCTGTCAACCGCAGCCTCAAGCCTAACCAGAAAGGTAAGTCTCCCCATTCCATCTCCTGACAATGTCCAGAGACTCTGCATTCACTTCGGGGTCCGGTAGATCCTGGATGTGGAATGTCTGACTTTGGTAAGTCATGTGAATTCTCTGAGCCTGTTTTCTTCTCTGTGAAACGAAGACAGTAACTCCTGCTTCCTGGGTTTGTTTGGAAGGAGAGTGTCTGGGACAGTGGCCCAGGCCACTGAAGTTTGGCCTGTGCCTACCACATGTAGACCAGGAAGAAGAGCTAGAGGTCAGGTTCCACGCTGCCACCTCACCTGTGGCCTCGGGACAGCAAAGGGTTCAGGGGAGTAGTGGGATGACTGGGTGGGGATCAGCTTTGTGGGTCTGGCCACAGGGAACCAGACCTCAGTGAGTGGTGCTGGGGCCTCAGCACCTCATGGCGTCCACCTCCTTCCACGGTGGGCTACACAGCCCTGTCCAGGGCAAGCAGGGGCAGGCATGGGGACCAAATCCATTTCAAACGTTGCATCTGATTTTTATATTAAGTCAAATTTAGGCAGAAAAATCTGTTGTCAGACTATGTGTCCCCATTTTGGATTCTGAAAATACAGGGGCCATAGAGACAGTGGGAGGAACATATGATCTGGAATCTGAGAACAGGACTCTAAGACCCTTCAGGATGGCCCAGCTGATAGAGCCTTGTCAAGCCTCAACCCCACACACACAGCTGGGTGGACAGCGAGGGCTCTTCTAAGCACACATGGGCCTTGTAGCAAAGTGAACATGGGTGTGAAGGCATCCCTGGCTGATGACTGAAGGTTCTTTTCCTGCTCCAGCAAGCCCAACACCGCCCAACCTGAGAAACAACAGGGTCATCAATGAGCTCTCCTTCAAGTCACCTGTCACAGAGCCCTGGTCTAGGGCCAGGTGAGTGTCTGTCAGTGGAAACAGGAGCTGGGGGCCGCCGGGCTGGTGGAGGAGTGAGTGGGATGGTCGTTGGCGGGTGGTCAGGATAAATGGATGCCGACATTAATGTGGAGTTAGCTGACCCTGTCTCCATCTAATGGAGACAGGATCATCGGTAAAGGGGGAATTATGATTCCCGCCTCTATCAGTTCTTGATCTGGTAGCAGAGGGTGAGGTCTGGATGCCTGGGGTCAGGGCCCAGCAGGAGGCTGGAGCCCTGACAGCAGTCGTGAGCCCGCCCGGGATAGGGCGCAGCAGGAGGCTGGAGCCCTGACAGCAGTCCTGAGCCCGCCCGGGATATGCTCCTTGTCTTGTTTCCTGCAACAGCCACACCTTTGACTCCAGCTCCTCCCAACACCCCATCTCCACGCAGGGCATCACCAGCGCAGACTCAGGAGACAGCAGAGAGAGATACATTTTCCTGGTGAGTCCTTGCGGGTCACTGTAAGGCTCCTGAGAGTCCCTTGGGACCCACACTCACGTCCCCACTTCCCAGCTTAGCTATCCCAGCTGACTAACCCCAGCCCAGTGGGGTAAGATTTGGTCTCCTGCTGCAAACCCTCACTAAAGCACAGGTCTATCAAGCAGTCATCAGAGTTAGGAAGATGATGGTCTCTCCTCGAGGGTGTCTGAGACTTGAAGAGCAGAGGCAGCCTATGTCTCCCTCATGATGGTGACACAGGTGGCGTCACTTGGTGTCATAGGGCCCTGCCCTGGAAGAGGCAGAGCTGGAGGGTCTGCTTGGCTGTAGGGAGACACATATGTGCATTCCTCATCGAGGTGAGGGCTGTGAGAGCCGTGGAGATGCAGGTGGAGCACAAGACCCCCTTAGATTGGCACTAAAGAGGGCATCGTGGCCAGCACTTGATAGTTGCTGCACAGATATTGGAAGAATGAGCCAGCCAGCCAGCAAAGCAGCCATGACCCAGAGCCCAGGACTGCCGCCTTTCTCACCAGAGCCAGATTTCAGGAGCGTCCCAGCAAGATGGAACGTCCCAGCAAGGTGGAATGTCCCAGCAAGGTGGCAGCCGTCTAGAGAGGAGGCTGGGGGAGCCAGGACCTGGCATGTCTCCTGCAGAGCTGCCAAGGGAGCAGGCACCATGCAGCCTGGGGTGGTGGGCGCTGCTGAACTCTGGGAACTGGAGGGGAAGGCAGCTGCTTCATGAGATGGCCCCACTCTGGGCCATGGGTGGGAGTTTCAGAGGACGGAGTGGGTGCAGCATCCAGTGTGTGAAGGAGAGGTGCAGTAGTAACGCCTGCCTCACAGGACTGCTGAGAGGGTTTGAATGAGCAGGGATTGTCCCAGTGTGTGACTCAGAGTAGGATCCAGTGAGTGTGTAGCTATGCCCACAGGTGTGTTCCAATGGGTGCTGGGTCCGTCCATGTCCTAAACTCACCCGCAGGATTTTCCTTCTTGTGACAACAGAACCCGGGGTCTGCATTTCCTGTTCTCGGTGGCACCAGCAGTTCAGCCCTGGCGAGGAGCACTGGTAGCATCCACTATGTGGCTGTGGACTTCCAGCCAAGCAAGGTGCCTGGGGTGGAGCTGGGGTCGGGCGGAGCCCTTGGGCTCTGGGGGAGAGACCGCGGGGCCAGGCCTTTTAGCACCAGCAGCAGCATTTGCCCCTCCCAGCCCGGCCTGGCTCGTATGCTCAGTGGTGCTCCGGTCTGGATCTTGGGGCTCCTGTTCCTTCCCTCTCAGCGTGGTGCCTTGATCAGTCTGCCCTGACTCCCTGTAGAGATGGACACATGACTGTGCAGAGCCCTGATCTGTGGAGGTTGCAGAATAAATCAGGAGAGACCCAGGACTCAGTTTCCTGCCTCCAGACCAAACTCTTCAGTGAGGAGAACTCTGTGTGGGAGGTCCCAGAGCCCAGCCATTGATGCCGGGCCTCAGAAGGAACTTCTGGGCCCAGGAAAGCCTCTCAAGGAAGCACATGTAGCCAGCCTGTCTAGACGGCAGGGTGGGGAGCCCCACCTCTGCACATTGACCCCCTTGGGGAGATAGGACTCACCTAGGGTTCCCCTGGAAAGGCCTGGGCTGGTGCTTGTTGGCACCTGGGAAATTTCCTGTGCTGGATGGATGAGTGGGTCGAGGGGAAGGCCTTGGCCAATCCTCAGGCCAGAGAAGGGCCTGGCTCTTCCTGCGAACTGGGAGATGAGAAGCGCTGGCAGTGCTGTGGCATCCAGCAGGAGGCGAGGTTAGCCTGGAGTTGAGGCTTTAAAGCCCAAGACCCCTCAGGCTGCTGAGAGCAGGAGGTGGAGGCTCCTCTTCCCTGAGAAAGTTCGGGAGAGCCCACTCCTCGGCCTGCCCCTCCTCACCAGGAACTCACAGACACTCCCATTTGCACTTCCACTCTGTGTCCCTCAGATATCCATAAGCTCTGTCGCATCCGGCAAGAAGGCGGAATATGTCCAGGTGGATCTGGAGAAGACCCAGGCCCTGCAGAAGACCATGCATGAGCAGATGTGCCTGCTGCAGTCCTTGGAGCCGCCCAGGGGCATCAAGCTGTGACTCGGGACACCGAAACCAGAGAGGGGCCAGGGCAGTGCTAGTCCTCCACACTCTAAAGCTCTCTGATGTCAGGGACCCCATCCCTTACCGAGAGTGGAGGCCTGATCAAGGTACATCTTCTGCCTGGTTGGGACCCACCTGTGCCTTTGGCTGGCCATGGGCTCCACCTTTACCCCCTTGCTAGGATCAGTTCCCAGCAAGCACCCTCCATCTCTTCCTGCCCCTCAGACCCGGGCTCCCAACAGGTTCCACACTCACACACGCTCCCAGTTCTCAGCCTCTTCCTTCCAGCCTTTGGGCTGTTCCTCTCAATGCTGGAACGTGAGGAGCCACCATGCTGGTCCTGGGAGCCAAGGTCCGTAGGCCACAGTGGACATGGACCTTTTCAGCCCTGGCATTTTTTGGTCAGGGGAGAGGCAAGGCCATCAAACATTGGAAAACTTGAGAAGGAAAGTGAAAGGTGGTCTTGAGAAGCAAAGGAATTAGGTCCTTAGACCCAGAAGGGCAGCTGATGCCTGCAGGGGCTCCCACTTCAGGCTGAGGCCAGAGTACAGCAGCTGCTCCGGTCTGGAAGAGGCAGAGAGGGAAGGGCAGAAGGAAGGGAGAGCAGGAGGATGGGCAGCCGAAAGCCACAAGGAGCAGGACGGGAGCTCCAGAGACTGGGGTGACAAGGACCGGGGTCAGGGTCCCAGAAATCTGGTGATGCCCCTTGGAGGGCCCTTTGCCTGCTTAAGAAGGCTTGGTTGGAGCTGGGCAAAGCAGCAACTGATGGGGGATACCTGCAGGGTGAGGCGTGGGATGTGAGAGGGAGGGAGGGAAAGAACGTGCAGATAGCGGTGGCACAGGGCTGAGGGGGTCCTGGGACAGGGGCCCAAGGCAGGGCCCAGGACTCTGCAGTGCAGGTGGTGCAGCATGTGACTTTGTGAAGGGGCAGAGCAGTGGGGAGGGCACAGAGGGAACCCATGGAAGGCAGGGCCAGGGAGTCGGCTGGGAGAAGTAGGGAAATGTGGCCGGGATCTGGGGGAGTGCCAGAAGTGATGAATGGGATACAGGAGCAGAAAGTGAAGGGGTCCGCTGTACACGGGAGCAGTGTGAGGCCAGCTGGAGGGCGTGGGACGCGGGTGGAACCCGCAGGGAGGATGACCTGGGGTGGGGCTGGGGTTGTGCCAGGCCCAGTGTTTCCTTCACTTTGCCCTCTTCCCTGGCATTCCAGTGCCACACTGGACTCATTGGCTCTGCGGCCAGAAGCCAGTCTCCTCCTCCTGTGACTTGAGAGAGCCTCAGATCCCAGGCTCAGAAGGTAGGGCCCCACCCAGGGCTTTGTGTGCTAAGGTTCAGGTATGGGTCGGAATTTTTTATATTGAAGGTTTTTGACCAAAATTTCCAAGAGTTTCAGAGTGAACAGGGCAGTCCAGACCCTTCTACCCTGGGGTGAATAGACTTTCCTCCTCCAAAAACGTGACTGCCCACAGGGTTTGATGGAGGCGGCCTCCACATCCTGTCAGCGCCTGTGAGCACCACACCTCACCAGACCAGGGGCCTGGCCGGCTTCTGGGAATCCAGCACTCAGCAGGGGTCCTCTCCTCAGTAGCTCAAAGGCTCAGGTGGCAGGGCCCCAGGCTTAGGTACTGAGGACACAGGTAATCTATCAGACCTTTGCCCAAACTTGACAGGGTCACATCAGTGAGGGAAAGGACAAGGACACAGACAGTGGTGATGGCCAAGATGGGCTGACTGCTGCCAATGGTGAAGACTCCTTCTCAGGGAGTGGGGCAGGGAGAGTGGTTTTCAGGACAAGGGGTGCCTGAGTTAGGCTGGAGAGGAGGTTAGGTCAGATTTTTACAGGGAAGGAGGGCACGGGCCAGGGTACAGTGGAGGAAGGAAAGACAGACTGGAAGAGCCTTGGGCTGAGGGGACAGAGGGCCTCTGGAGTGCAGGTGCAGCTGTTCAGAACTGCAGGGGCCGGGCCTCTGTGCTCCCACAGGTGGAGTGGTAATGGCTGCGTGGCCACACTGGGCAGGGTGTGTAGGGTGGTGGCTTACTGGCCCATCCCTGACTCTGTCCCCGTAAGTCCCTCCAGGTGGTCTCACACAGCGAAGCTCTTAATGGCATCCCCTGTCCTTAGCTGACTACAGTGGGGCCTGGTATTGATCTCAACTCCCAGCCCAGTCCCCTTCCCTGTTGACTGCAGGCTGCTGGGAAAATCCTGTGTGTTCTGAGTGTGCGTTGTGTACATGAACCTGGTGGAGGCTTCAGAGAGAGGCGTTCAAGTCCCATCTCCAGAGAGGGTCCTTCCTGCTCTGGGTTTCTGTCACCACCAAAACAGGCTTGTGAGCAGAGCCCTGCTCACAAGCCTGGACGCCAGCTGTGTCCAGCACATACCCAGCCATTTACCCACTGTCCCAGAAGGAAAAGTCAACTCAGCTTAGTACAGGGGCCCTTGGACCTATCATGAGGTCAAAGTCCACCTCCCCTGGTGGCCTGGCCAGGACCAAGACCCCAAAGGGGGACACCTCAGGTAGTGGACCTTGCTTTCCTATCTGTGGAATGCGTGGTTGGATTCGATGTTTTCTGGCCCCTTCCCGAGCTGAAGCTCTGCAGGTCTGAAGGGGAGCTCCCTGCTGTTACTTCTCTCTGGAGGCTCCGCGTCACCAGGGATGAGCAGCACCAGCGCACTGGCCAATTAGCCAGTCCCTTCCTAGCTTGATTTGGGCAACTTCTTCATTTCAGACCATTAATATCGACCCCATTCCTAGGGCAGAAGCACAACCCCCTGGTGTGGGAAAGTACGCTCAGCTGCAGTCTGCCTTGTGGCCTTTAAACCTGCTGTGGGGCCGTCATCTCAGCCCCAGGCAATGGCGCAGCACCACCTATATGACTGTGACCCCTAGGGAGATGCAGGACAGGGAAGTGAGTACTTTCTTCCTGGGCCTGGGCCTTCATCTGGTAAGTGTGGGGAGGGGAGGCAGACCTGCAGAGCTCTAAGGGCGTCCTGGGATGCACCAAGCCCCTGGGGCCTGGGATGATGGCCAGCTGCCCACAGAGGGCCTGCTGCAGTCAGGCAGGCACGTCTAGTCTGGCGGTGTGTGTCCGTGCGTATTTTTTGCCTCCTTGTATCTTGCTGTTTAGAATCATTTTGCACAGAATGTTTGGTTTCTCAGGAAGAGAAAATGGGTGAGAACTCGCTCTTAAGTTCTTGGCTTGGTACCATTTAAAATTGACATTTCATGTTTCAAATCATGGTTGGTGTTTAATCACTGTAGTTATTCATTTTCCTTTAAAACTTTTGTTATGTGTATTTACCTTGTGAGCAGACCTGGGGGTGACAGGAGTGTGCTAAGTGGCTGTCGTTTCTGCTGTGGCCACTGGACGGGCCTTGTGTTGGCAGGCGCCTTCGTGCTGAGGCGCTGGAGCAGGACAGCAGTGAGGTGCATGAGGAATGCAGCCGCACTCACTCAACTCCCCACTTGGGGCGAGCCCGAGCACCTGGCTGCACTGTGCAAGCACACACACACTGTCAACAAGAAACCCATTTCAGAATCATTTCTCCAATGACCCAGGAAGGCCACTGTGCCAGTCTGTTCATTTCATCTTAAACAGAATAGGTACCTTTCCTGGCTAAGAGAGAAAATAAATTCTGTCACAGAATCTGTTTTCCTAATCTGTAAACTGGACATTGTGCCAGCATCTGCCAGTCTGTCTTTCTTAGAAGGGAGTCTAGAGGTGGGTTCTGAGAGGGCCTCATCTGTGTCCACGTCCACAGGTCCCTGAGGTCTGACATCCCACAACTCCCCTGTACCCACTGCACAAGTGGGCAGCCCTTGAGGTCCCTGGTGCCTTCCCACCTTCCATGTTCCCCCAAGGGGCACTGCAGGCGTGGTGCTTGGTGACCCTGTGGTAAGGGCTGCTCCCAGGCCCCATACATGCTGTTCTCTGCTTCAACTCCAGGATAGGGTGGGGCCCAGGAAAGGAGCTGGGCCTGAGTGGGCAACCTATGGTGAGTGCTGGTACTGGGCTCTGTGAGTGTGGCTGCTCCTGCGCATTTCTCTAGCTCCAGGACGGGATGGTGCCTGTGGGAAGGAGCTAGGTGTAGGCATGGTGGATGCACCACGGCCCTGTGGTGAGGGCTGGTCCTGGGCCCTGCCAGTGTGGCTGCTCATGTGCTCCTCTCCAGCTCCTGGATGGGATGGTGCCCACAGGAAGGAGATGGGTTCGGACTCCGGAGAAGCAGGGGGCTGCCTCCCAGCTAGCCCTGACCCATGCCAAGTCCAGCTCTGGAGATGTGACAACCCCCTTTCAACCTCCCAGCTTCTCAGATCAAAGAAAGGAACGTGGCATCTGTAACAGGTGTTTGCAGGCAGTCCAGATTTCTTGGGCCTGAAACATCGCTAGCTATTTGGGTTCCAGGTGCACCTGAGAGGCGAGTCCCCTCCACAGTATTCCTCTCAGCCCCCCACCCTGTGTACCCTTCCTCCCTCTTCCATTCCATCCTCTAGGTCCTCCCAGCCTCGGCACTACGCAAGTCCTTCAGCACACAGGACTCTCACTCCATGCTGTATCTCAAGTGATGGGGACAGGGGTGTGTCCTCACCTTACCAAGGAGGAGCCTGGGCCCGTATCAGGCTGGCCAGATGTGGTGAGGAAATCGAGGGTACAGCAGACAAGAAGGACAACAGATTTCAAAGGCTTCAGAGAGACTGGTGTCATGCTGTTTGAGAGCATGGGTCTGTCTCTGCATAGAAAAGGGGCTATAGCAGTGTCAAGGCACAAGAAGGTCACTGGATTGCCCCTGCTCAGCCCTCAGGTGCTGCTCTGGTTGTCCATGGCGAGGACCCATCCTCCTGGCCAAAGCCTTTGCTGTTCCACTTAAGTATTTTGATGCCACCCTTAACTCTAAAAGGTGGAGTCTCCGGCATTTAGGAGGTAAGACTACCCTCCCACTGACACTTGGCCATTCACATTTGTAGAACAGCACACTTACTATATAACTGCATAATCCATTGTTCAATGTCTGTTCCTCTGAAGTAAGGGGTTAGGTCTGTCAGAGCCACCAAGATATTCCCAGCATTGAGCAATGAATGAAGGAATGGGTTGATGGATTTTTTTAAAAGACTGAAAGAGAAGAGAAATATTGAGCCAATGCTTGGCCTGGACTGGATGAATCTCCACCCAGGAGATCAAATCCAGGAACCTGGTGGGCCTGCTCTCTCACAGGTGAGGATGTTGCTGTCCTTGGAAGTGGCTTCTGTCAAGCCCTGTGGATGGTAGACTTGGCCCAGACTCTGGGAGAGCCCGGTTCAGTCTTGGGCCCATCGCCGGTGACACTGCTGGTAAAAGAGCACACAGACCTTCTTTGGGTATGAGGGAGGCGACATTGCAGACAGTCAGCAGGAGGACACCTATGTGGGCAGTTCCCAGAGGGGCTGGGCGGCAGCACCCTTGCAGGCTTAGCAGTGGTTGGGATGCTCTCCCAGCACACTCCAGAGTGCGCTGGTTCAGTGCTAGTCCACACACCTGGCCTGGCACCAGTTAGTGGGGCAATGATGTCACCGCGGATCTTGCAGTTCCTGCATTGAAGGGGAGGCACAGCAATCTCTGGGTGAGGTAGTGTGGCCCCTGGCTCAGGCCCCTGCCTATTCAGCACCCTTCAGGGCAGCACCCACCTCACTGCAGCAGGGGTTCTCTGCTGTCAGCCTCTCAGGAACAGGAAGTAGTTGACCAGGTCCAAGTCAAAGCTGGAGCCCCGGAGACCACATAGCGCCTTCACAGACAGGGCAACTGTCCCTGTAGGTCCCTGGTCCCAGGCCATTCGCCCCCTTTTTCCTCTGTACCCCGAACAGCCCAGGGATGCCTGGCAATGTGGGTGCTCAAAATTCACAGATGAATGACATTTATAGCACATTAGGGCCCCAGTTTTTTTTTTTTTTCTTTTTTTTTTTGAGACGGAGTTTCACTCATGTTACCCAGGCTGGAGTGCAATGGCGCGATCTTGGCTCACCGCAACCTCCGCCTCCTGGGTTCAGGCAATTCTCCTGCCTCAGCCTCCTGAGTAGCTGGGATTACAGGCACACACCACCATGCCCAGCTAATTTTTTGTATTTTTAGTAGAGACGGGGTTTCACCATGTTGACCAGGATGGTCTCGATCTCTTGACCTCGTGATCCACCCGCCTCGGCCTCCCAAAGTGCTGGGATTACAGGCTTGAGCCACCGCGCCCGGCCAAGGGCCCCAGTTTTAACGCAGTAGGCGGAATCACTGGAGAGAGAGATTTGGGCAGCACAGCACAGAATGGGACCCAAGGGGGCCCTGCCGTGGCCCCACAGGCTCCATCATGAATCTGCGCCAGCATGAACAAGGGCTCAGCAGCTTCTTCCATGAAGCAGGCGCTTGTCGTCAGATGCAGGTAGGTCCTGGGGCAGGGAGGCTGTCACTGTGGGGGCCTGACCAGAGCTTCCTTTTCACCTCCCCTTCCCCCTGTACACACTTGGCTGTGATCCAGGAAGGCAAAGAGCCACTGCAGCCTGGAAATAAAAGGCTTTGAGTTGTTCTCAAATGAAGCCAACAGTGTTTGAAGCTTCAGAACAAAGCAGGAGTGCCCAGGGTAAGCAAAGGCCCCAAAGGAGCCTCTACTCACCCATGGCCTCCAGGCCAAAGGAAGAACAGGCATTTCTAGCTCAAGGTGAGGGTGGAGGCAGGGGACCTGGAGGAAGAAAAGGTGAACACTTGGCTCAGAGTGTCTGGGATCAGAAACAGCAATGACCTTGGTTTCTAAAATAAAGGGTATAATAGCAAGGTGACCACTGAAGTCCCTACCAGCTCTGTCATCCCATGGCCCCAGGAGCCAGAGATGAGTGTGTCCTAAGGTCTTGTGGTCCCAGGGTTCTAAGTCTGGGGCTCTGGTCAACCCCAGAGTTCATGCCAACATCATCCCAACCACAGCAGCCCCCGCTCCCTTTCTCCATGCTTCCCCAAGAAACAGCATCCAGACCCCTGCAAAGCACTAAGCTCTAAGTCCGGCCCCAGTCCACTCCTGCAGCCCCTGCTCAGTGCCCTGGCCCAAAGCCACCCAGAGTTATTCTCCTGCCTTCAGATGAGAAAGGCAGGTGTCAGTATGAGAAATATTCTGACAGAAGAGAACACGGTGGTATAGACTGGCTCCTGGTGACAGAGGTGTGGCACTATGGGAGACAGGAGAGAGACCCTCTTCATGCCTATATTCCCTGGAACAAAATGATTTCCAGGTCCCAGCTTTGCTCCTCTTCTCACTAGACATTCTGGACAGATCCATGATGCATTTCTCCAAACAGCCCATTGCATAGAATGGCACTGCTCAAAGTGTGGGTCACTTGGCTGGTCCAAGGCAATGTAAGTTCAGAAATGGAGGAAGCATTTAGAAACCTGTAAAGCACTGGGATATTACCATGACCATTTAAGCACCGGAGCTTTTGTTGTTGTTAAGTCATTTTATTGTGTTTTACAAAAGTAATGGTCTGCAGTAGACCAAAATTAGAAAAACAAAACAAATTATTCACCAGGAAATTGAGAAGAATTAGTAGCAGCAGCTTAGGAAGTTAAGAGATCATATCCAACCTCCTCTGCTGAACCTGAAGCTCAGAGAGAGAAAACTGACTTGAGGTCATACTATAAACCTGGATCAAACCTTCTTTCACAGGATCAAAGCTGAAGTTTTGAGTGATTTTTATGCAAGCCATAAGGTAATTGGGTAGCCATAGACAATAAATACTGTGTTTGTTGCATTAAAGAAAAACATGCCTGAAACCAGAATGAATGTGAACTTCACTCAGGAAGACACAGCCCACCACCATGGACTCAAGGAGAAGTCAGTGATGTCAACCAGCCCAGTGAGGACCCCTCCTCCCACTGTAGCCCAGTCCCTTGTGCCCATCTTGAGTTCTCATCCTGTTGCTACCTTCTGCCTTGGCAATGGCCTGAAGCCCTCTGGGGCCTTCATGTGCCCACAGACCTCAGGGGATCATGTCAGTAATGCAAAGGAAGACCCACTCTCTCCATCCCACATTCTCCTTTCTACCTTCTACCGGTGACCATAAAGCAGAGAACCAAGGGCAGAGAGGAAGTGAAAAATCAGCGTCTATACAAAAGCCACGAACAAGCCTAAGGAACGCTGTTCACGCAGCGTGTAGAACCCAATTGATTAAAACAATGTTGCCCGTGTGTTACTTAACCATGAGCTCGGGGCAGAAACCAGCCAGCTCGCTCTCCTGTGAGACCCAGGCCTCCTGCCGTGATTGCTGCTTGGTGTAATCCTCACTGGGAACGTGAAAGTCCTGGGCAGGAAACAAGGCAGGCAGTGGGCCCCAGAATCAGCCCAGCAGCTGGGCTAGAAAAGTCACCTCCTCTGGGAAGTCGTCTTCACTACAGCCAACTTGGCTGTAGTCCTGAGGGACTGCCTACAAATGTTGCCAACAGCTTCTGCCTGCAAACACAGTCCAGCTTCTCATCTTGTCATGAGGGCCTTTTATGTAACCTTTCATTTCACACCACCTTAAGTAATGCCTATTTTATACATTAAGTGACTAAGATTCAGGTAGAGAAAAGAATTGGCCAGGTCACATGCCAATGAATGAAGGATTCCTAAGTTCTTGCAGGAGCCCAGCAGCTACAGCCCTGGCCTATTGGAATCCAGTGGCATCAAGACCTCAATGTGAGCCCCAGTGCTCGTCCCCACTCACTGTCTGGCCGTGGCCAGTGAGCCTCTCTGACTCAGCCTGTGAACACCCCCTGGGCCTAGATTTCCTGTGTCAGGTGAGGATATGCCTACCTTCTGTCATTTTGGCATTCTGTACTTCCATGGTGCTTACCCACAATCATGTTCCTGCTTTCATCTACTTTTAGATTTGCAGTCAACCTGCAAGACAATTAGTCACCCTCTTGGAACATGCTCCTACTGTCAGGACAATGGGAGGGTGCTGGAGGTCTGTGGTATGGGTTCTTGATCATGAGCAAGCTTTCCCCCAGGACCCTTTATCATATTAAACAGCTGCATCTGCAGCAGTATCGCCAAACACTAGTTCTAATAATGACGTATTTTACAGTGTGACCTAAGCACAATGTAGTGTTTCTTAACTGATTTAAGCAGCATTTATGACAGTTCCTCTACCCTATCCTTATCCCCAGATCCCGAGTGCAATGCCCTGGATTTGTACAGGGGTCCACAGAGCTTGAAGCTGGCTTAGTACCAATACCCACATCTCCCCAGTGCATGTCCTCCAACTACTGTAGAAGACCTTGTCTGAGTAGTGGTTTCACTCACTCATTTCCCAGGATCATTTATCAGATAATGTATCAGATTAGCCAGTCCCCTCTTACAGATGATTTTTAAAAAAGATGAAAAGAACTGCCAGAGGGGAGATAAGAAGTTACAGTTTCTTCATCTTCTCTCTCGGTCCCTCTTTTTTCTTGCATTTGTGCCCTATCCAATTTCTTCTCACCCCACACACAATATCAACACATACGGACAAAAAGACAAATGGACAGAACGTCTCACAGAGAGAGAGAGAGAGAGGGAGAGAGAGAGAGGAGAGAGGGAAAGAGAGAGAGAGAGGGAGGACAGAGAGAGAGAGAGAGGGAGGAGAGAGAGAGAGAGGCGCAAAAATATTCATAACAGAAAAAAAAAAATCAAATGCCATTTTCCCCAAAGAATGGAACTTCACACTCTTAGGAAAATAAAACAACAATTTCCCAAATTACTCTCAAGCTCCTAATGCTTCTGGAAACGTACATACTATGGCTCCCTGAACAAGGTCGCAGCTCCCAGAGAGAAACTAGCATAGCCGGATGCATGTGCCTTGGTATAAGCATGTTCCAGAGCTCGTGTGCAAAGGAACATATATCCACACCATAATGTGCTCATAGAACACAAGTGAAAGAATTTCATAAACAATAAAATTCTATAAATTTCTGCCTTGACTCTCAAATTGGCTTGTTAGCAAGTGGTATTCAAAGCCACAGGGAAAATGTAGCACATCTTCCTGGAGCTATATTCTTTAATATTCAACAAAGAAAACCATGCATTTATATTAAAACCAGTATTTATGAACTACATGCCTGAGTCTTTTTGTCCAACTTTAATTTACAATCAGGGTACATGTGTAGGTTTGCTATATCGGTATATTGTATGATCCTGAGGTTCAGAGCATGAATGAATCTGTCACCCAAGTAGTGAGCTTAGTACCCGAGAGGTAGTTTTTATCAACCCTTACACCCCTCCCTCTCTCCTTGCTATTGTATTCCCATAAGTCTATTGCTCCCATTTTTATTACCATGCATATCCCATGTTTTGCTCCCACTTAGAAGTGAGAACATGTGATATTTGGTTTTCTGTTTCTGCATGTGTTTGTTTAGGATAATGGTTTCTAGCTGCATCCACGTGGCGGCAAAGCATGTGCTTGCATTCTTTTTTATTGCTGTGTAGTGCTCCACAGTGTATATGTGCCACATTTTCTTTATTCAATCCACAATTGATGGGGACCTGGGTTCATTCCATGTCTTTGCTATTGTGAAAAAAGTTACCATTGAATGGTAGTTCTGTTTTAAGTTCTTTGAGAAATTTCCACACTGCTCTCCACAGTGGCTGAAATGATGTAAATTTCCATCAACAGTGTATACAAACTTTTTCAACAACCTCATCGATGTGTTATTTTTTGACATTTTAATAATAGCTATTCTGACTGGTGTGAGATAATATCTCATTATGGTTTTTATTTGCATTTCTCTGGTAATTAGTGATGATAAGCATTTTTTCCATACATCTTTTTGTATGCCTTGTATGTCTTTTTTTTGAGAAGTGTCTGTTCATGTCCTTTGCCTACTTTTAATGGGGTTATTTGCTTTTTGCTTGTTCAGTTGTTTAAGTTACAGATTCCGAATACTTGACTTTTGTTGAATGCGTGATTTGCAAATACTTTCTCCCATTATGTAGATTGTCTGTTTACTTCCTTAATAGTTTCCTTTGCTGTGCAGAAGCTCTTTAGTTAATTAGGTCTCACTTGTTACTTTTTGTTTTTGTGACAATTGCTTTTGAGGACTTAGCCACAGATTATTTGCCCAGGCTTATATTTAGAAAGATAGTTCCTAGGCTTTCTTATAGGATTTTAAGTAGCTTGAGGTCTTTCATTTAAGTATTTAATACACCTTGAATTCAATTTTGTATGTGGTGATAGGTAGGTATAATGTTTAATAATGAGTGTCAACTTGACTGGATTGAAGGATGCAAAGTATTGTTCCTGGGGGTGTCTGTGAGGGTGTTGCCAAGGGAGATTAACATTTGAGTCAGTGGATGGAAAGGGGCAGACCCACCCTCAGTCTGGTTGGCGCCATCTAATCAGCTGCCAGTGCAGCTAGGATAAAAGCAGCCAGAGGAACATGGAAGGACTAGACTGGCTGAGTGCAGTCCTGAGAGAAGCCCTAATCCATAGGCACCCAGCATGCCGCAGCATCTCAGGCCCTGCTCTGCAGCCCCCATCACCCAGCCCCTGCCCTCCCAGCGCACACAGCACCAGCACGGAGCTGGGAAGCCATGTGGCGTAGGTCACTGCCTGCCCAGGAGACGTCCCTCTCAGAAGTGCTCAGCAGCCTGGTCCCCGGCCCAGAGTACAGGATACTCAGCCTTGAAATCAACTCAGGCTTCCCCGCACAGTCCACCGGAGTCACATCCTTCAGGGCAGATGGCAAGGGTGGGCCGGGGCCACAGTCCTGACTGCATCCCAAAGCCAGCATAAGGCTACATGGCTGGAAACCACTGTCCCTACGGCTCAGCGTCTCTCCAGGGCAAACACCCCCAGCTGGAGACGGGGGATAGAGAGGGCCGAGGCCTCACTGGGACCTGGGACAGCACCACGGTTTGGAGAGCTGGCTTGCCGGGCTGCGGAAGCCCGTGTGTGGAAAGGGCACATCGGAGGATCCCATGTGTTCTGCGTCTGCGTCTCTGTGTGTCCCTGTGTGCGTCTCCACGTATCCACGTGTATTCACTCTTGTGTGAGTGCCTGAGTGTGTCCCTGTGCGTGGAACCCCACACAGGCCTGTGGCCTGGGGAGGTATCTGTGCCCATGTGTCACTGTGTGCGTCTCCATGTTTCTGTGTGTGTGTGTGTTTCCGTGCGAGGGCACGTCCCTGTGTGTCAGGCGTGTGTGTGCCCTGGTGCAAGTAACCCCATGTGGGCATCATCACCGTGTGTGCTGCAGGGCGGGGCAGTGGGAGAGTAGGCCCCCACTGGCAGGGCAACACTTCCTTTGGGGAGCCCCCCCACATCCCAGGTGGGTAACATCAGCTGGAAGAAATGCCAACTGCCTTCTTGAACGACTGAAATCATCATCCCCCCAGGAGGCCCCAGAAAGCAAGGGCAGCCTGCACCTTCACTATCTCAAGCCCCTCCTTCTTCTGAGCCCACCCTTCTCTGTGACGACGATGTTGGCTATACTCCTCCATTTCTTGGAGCCTGTTTCCTTAAACATGATGGGGTGAGAAAGACTGGTCTGCTGGCATGTTCTGAGGATTAAATGAAACTGCAACCCACAGGGCCTCACGCAGGGCTGTCGCCCTTTGCCACATCCTCTGCAGGTGGAAGTATGACAGTCACAGCTTCCCATGAACCATACCACTCACTCCTCACAAGCATTCTACAAGGAAGGCACCATCACCTCCATTTCTACAGACAAGGAAACTGGGGCCCTGTGAGGTCACATGTGTGCCCTCTGTCTTCTGAGGAGGGGGTCGCATCAGGCCAGTGGGCATGAGGAAGGGCACCTCCTAAGGGGACGTCCCTCCGGCCAGCCACCTCCTCCGGCTGTCGCCAGTGCAGCATCACCCGCCGCCCAGGGCACAGCCTATCAGGGCCTTCCTGGAAAGGCCAGTCTGGAAGAAGCACACAGTTAGGGCTGAAACTTTCTGCCCCCCTCAAAAATCACACTGATGCCCTAACTCCTGTGGGATGGTATCTGGAGGTGGGGACTTTGAGAGGTAAGGAGGTGCAGATGAGGTCATGAGAGTGGAACCTACGTGATGGGATTAGAAGAGGAAGAAAGAGAGGTCCTTATCTCTCTCCATGTCTACTCCCAGGCAGGCCATGTGAGGGTACAATGGGAAGGCGGCCGCGCTTCTCACCGTCCTCATCAGAATCTGACCACGCTGGCACCCTGGCCCTGGATCTCCAGCCTCCAGAACTGTGAGAGGTAAAGGTCTGTGTGTAGGCTTCCCAGAACTCCGTACTTAACGAAGCAGCCCAAACCGACTACAATATGCTCCAGGAACCAGAGACCACGGTTCCAAAGAGATGCTGGAACACTGCCCCAGGTACAAGAACTGCAGTTTGATCATCAACAAATCAGCAGTGCTTTGACTGGTGGGACCAGGAAAAGTTGCCAAAGAACCCCACGTAGCAGCTAAGAAAGTGGAGACAGAACAGGGCCCAGGTGAAGACCAAGGGGGAGCTGTCAGCTACTGGCTAGTGGGGGGCCCTGGAGGAGGCCGGTGGCCTCAGCCCTCGCTACCGTACCCCCAGAGCAAAGGGCGCACCCCTGGAGACCTGGCTGACACTGCCTGTCAGTGGCCCTGTCTACGCAGAGATGTAGTAGGCTCCAGTGGTTCGGCAGTGGGACCAGGAGCAACGAGGGTCGCCAGACAGCCCAATACACACTGCAGCCGAGAATGAGGCCAAAGGTCCTGCTCGCCCTTCCCTCCCTCTCACCTGCTCTCGACCTGCCCTCCTTGCAGAGCAAATCTCTACTCTCTGGTCCCCAAGAAAGCCTCCCATGGCCAAGCTGGCCCAGAGTTTCCTATGCCCCAAGAGACACTGTGCCAGGAGG